AGTCCTTCCTAAGCAATGTGAGAAGTGCTTAGAGAGCAACACGGAGACACACGGTTCGCTCCATCGAGACGGGACTCACTTTCGCACCACATTCGCAGCATTTTGATCACCCCGCACCACGTATCCAATCTGCGCCGCAGGGTGGGGTGACCATCCATAAAGGCCGGTTTGTCCAGCCAACTCCCAGCCCTGAAAACAATCAGCCTAGTCACACCGTGCTTCGGCACGTTCCGGAAGCCGGATCGACCTCACCATCCAAAACGTCTCCTTGTCTCCGTAAATCTTCTTGTACACGACCTTGTCCCTCTCCTCCTCGCAGTTCATTTTGCACGTGGTCAACAGTCCATAAAAGTTGTGCGGCAGAGACTTGTCCACAGCGACGACTCCAGATTCCTGTTGATGACCCGACTTTCCAGCCAGAGCAGCGTTTTGGGTCGTGAGGAAGGAAGGAACTGGGTCGCGGAAGTGGGCAGGGAGGAGAGAGATGGAGAACTTGAGCATTTCCTCGGAGATGCCGAAGAGAGTACGCTGGGTGATTGCGGTGCCACAATGCCTAATGCTTCAAACACAGAGCGAGAGTACAAAATTGATACCGCAAGCACTCACCCTGTCAAAGTAAAACAATGTCCCTGTCTTCTTGTACACCGGATCCTCAAACACCTCGTCCGGACTCCCGAGCCACACGACATCCGAGTCCTGGAATATAACTTCGGTAAAGCTAGCAAACATGATGACAAACGGTTTGATGGCCCATCCTCGGACGTTTGCAATCTTGTTATCGAACAGTTGTGTAGCGTCACGAACGGTCACCGAGTACCCGTCACCCATAGACAACAGACGCGCTCGGCTTTCGGGCTTGAGGTCGTCATCTCCAGCATAGAGAATCTCGATGGGCAGGTCACACCCGGCAGCACGAATGGACATGATTCCCACGAGAGCCATTCGGACCTGACCGTTGCCTGCGGTCATGGCAATACCACGGCTTCGTGGGGCACGAGCAAAAGAGGAATAGAGGGAGGATGCGGAGGGGAATGTGGGTTTCACAAAGGGGAAGAGTGAGTGCTCCAGGACAGCGACGAAGCGACGGAAGCGGTCAAGGGTGGACTTAGTGAGGGTGGAGATTTGGGAGCGGCGGATAAGTGTGGTGGTTTTTGAGGATGCGGAGGTGGTGGTGGAACTCGCGAGATATTGTTCCAGCTCCCAATCGTCCAGAGCTCGCAGGCGGTGATGGAGCTGAACCCATGTGCGTATGCGGTCACCCAACGTTGCAAAGTCTTCGATGGGGATCGGGGAGAGAAGGGAGTCTTGGATGGACTGAGGCACATGGAAGTCGGCAATAGAGAGGCCAGGAGGTAAGACCTCGGGCGATGACGGCCGCCGAGGGAGGGTGGTGTCGCTTCCGCCCGTACCGCCGTACACTTTATAGTCCCCACTGCCAGTGTTGGCGGGTTGTCCCGGCGATACCACGCCGCTCCCCGCTGCGGGACCTCCCGACCCTTCTACAACGGATTGTTTCAGCGAGCCAGCCACCCCATCCACAACGAGATCGACCGTGTCCCCACCATACGCCCCCATGCCCTTCTTCCTTACAACTTGAATGTTGAGTAACGTTTCTCCCCTTGTGGAATCGTTATTCACCGCGCCTGATGCAGAAAACGAGCCGTGAAACCCCTTGGCACCACTCCAGCTGTAACCACCACCACCATCACCGCCGCCGCCACCACCCACACCCATGTAGACCATCCATCCTACAACGTTCAAAATCACCAGGATCACGAGTACTATTCGTGTCGCGGCGGAGAGACGAAAGAACGGTCCCCGAGATACGGATCCCGATTGTCCAAAGAGGCTCCCGTTCGCGGCCCCTCCGTACCCAAATCTCGGTTGTCGACGGTCTTTGGAGTAGGCATCGTCGGGGTCTGGGAGTGACATGAGGGGTTGAATGGAAACAACTTGAAGGTAGAGAATGGCAGGGGAGTGCCTTGCGCGCACTGACGATCCTCAACCTCACATTGAACATTCCAATCCGCATCGAGAGTCTTATCGCATGAGTATTAAATTCCGTACGAGAGTAATTTTACATGAATTTATCGCCGGCAGCGGGGGGTTTCCACTATCTTACAATTTATGAATGTAATCTCCAACTCTAGAACGCCAGTGACTGGAAGCGCGAAAGATCGTCAGAGTACTAGTAGTGTTCGAAGTGGTTCATGCCAGCTGGACACGCAATGGGAACTGCAGAAGTTTCACAACCCTCCAACACCTATAACAATGCTGGTACGAGCTGGAATGAAACGACGAATTCCTTAATCCTGCAGGATCACTAATCTTCGATGACTGCCTTTGCCTGCCTATTCCCTTCACTGACTGGAAATGTACGCGTGGATATCGATCACGAAATTCAAGACCCGCACCCTTCCCTCTGCTTCACGAACACAAATCACTCTCGCCCGCTCGACGCCTGTGTCAGCACGACGTGGACTAGCCTTCACTCGTGGCGCTGGAGCTGCCTGGTCAGCATCCCGGAACCAGTCAGAGGCTAAAGCTCTTTCACCTTCACGAATGACTGTGCCTTCTCCCTTCTCCTCTTTCTTGACAAAGCCACAACGCCGATGGATATCAGACGATTTGAAAAAGTGGCTTGACGATGTGAGTGTTGTTCGATGGCCGCACATGTTCTGTAGATTCGAGTTCACAGTTCTTCTCCGCACTTCGCCGCCAGGAAGTCAAATCCACACCCGTTGTTCTCTTCATGAAGGGCACTCCTCAACGACCGCAATGTGGGTTCTCTCGCGCGCTGGTTCAGGTTCTCCAGGAGGAGAACATCCAGCCTTCAAAAGTGAGGGCGTACAACGTTTTGGAGGACCAGGAGCTGAGGGAAGGGATCAAAGAGTATAGGTGAGCTGAATTTCGGGCGTACTCAGGGAAACGGGGAACGACGGCGTCCTGGGAGGGAATCCAAGTGTTGTGACATACCAATACTACCCACCACCCACCAGCAACTGGCCCACCATCCCCCAACTGTACGTTTCTGGCGAGTTTGTCGGAGGTGCTGACATTGTGGTCAGCATGCACCGAAGCGGAGAGCTCAAGGATTTGTTGAAGAGCGGTGGGTTGCTCGAGGAGATTGCGGAAGAGAAGGCAGAGGGAAAGGAATAATTGCATAGATACCGCACTTTGTGTACGCTTTGAAGAATGCACATATTTTAGACCTGGGGTTACTGGCCGGGGAGGACCTCCGGATGTCTCTAAAGCTTTTCCCAACTCAAATTGTGACGGATCAACAGACAAATGTAGTTTGCATTGACATCAACGTCGATGCAAGCACAAATTTTTAGAGCGCAAGACTGAACACTTTCTGATCGATGCTGGGAATTCATTGAGCAGGAGGAATTGAGGATCACCAAACACAAACATGGTTCACCGAGAAGTGAAAAGGTCTTCCATTAAATCGAACTTTCGAGACAAAGTCATAGTTTAGCTACTTTATGAACTAATTTTTGTGCGCTTCAGTCCAGAATCACGAGCTCTGTTGTCCATCGCCCCCAAGTGACATATTTGTGTGATTCCCACACCCTCTCCACAGCCAGAAAATGCGACTCAGGCTCTACTGGCACCCAAAATCAATAGATCATATGGTAAAAGTGATACTTCTAGGCGACATGCTCTGTGGCGATTCTGGAACCGAGTCCGTGGTGCATTATGTGTTTCATCAGTGCGCGCAGGTGGCAGTTGGAGCAGTACCCAAAGCCTGTTCGAGGTCGATCGGCCATGGAGACCCCTGAAAGTCATAGTCCTAGTGGCTGGCAATGCCGGGGATTTAAGCGATTGCCTCTGGCCTGGCTGGCGTGGTGGACGAGAAGCCGCTACCCGAAGCAACCCGTGAACAAGTCCCGAAACTAGCTTCATTACGCGTTGCTTCGGGAACGCTGGTATCCGCACCCCGAACGTGCGGACCGACTCGGATAACTAGATGCTTGTATCACTAGTCGACTCAGTAGTAGCCAAAATTGTAGGCGGGTAAATGTCATTTTGAGCAATAGCCATGCTCGTTAGAACTCATCCTGGCCATGTCCATTGGGACTTTCACGATGGAGCACCACTGAGCACATATATGATCCCGAGAATCCAGAAATATCATCTCACTACATGTATGTATCTATTCTGCTTACAAAAAGTCTTGAAGATTCTTGGTAATTGTGTGCATGGGGTCACTGCATAGTACATCCATATCTGCCCTACCTTCCCCACATGAACCTCCCACAAAGGCAGAAAATGAACATTGACACTCACCTTTAGTCCGGTGGATCCTCGCGTGGTGATTGCGGACGGGAAAGCTCTCTGGTCTTATGGTCTTGCAAGAACTTCGGGAGTTTCTGACAGCCGGATGATTGCTTCACTGGGAGAGATCCATCGTTGTGGAAACTATCTCGTCGCTGACTATGGTGATCGGATGACGGGAATTTACAGTCAAATGAGTTCTAGTGAAAGAATCAGATGTCTTGTTCTTGGAGTTTCCGCAAAACCGATCACCCATGGCTAAGGTGATCCATCGCGTAGGCGAGCTCAACTGAGTCCGATTCAAAGTTCAACTGCAGGAAGAGAGCGTGTAGCCCTGCAATAACTGGAGGGTTAACGTTCAGCCAATTTCCCTGGACGCACCTCCCCCGAGATTCTCAAGCAAAGACATGAGTGAAGCTGTTCAAAGGAGTTGCGTTTGGACTTGAAAGTGTTGTCATGTAGTGTTGTGTCTCCTGCTGAAGCCGTTCGCTTGTTCTGGTGCCTCGTTGAATTCAGGGAGGGCTGGAGACCACGGAATGCTCGAGGGGACTTCCGGCGTGCGGTACTGTTAGAACTCATGGAATTTGGAGGTACTTTATCACTATCGGAGAGCATTTCAGCTTATGTAGGCGAAACTCGGTCGTCAACTTAGCACATCCACACTCGCCAACACCCTCCACACTCGCCCACATGGCATTGTGTTCCAAAATGAGATTGGAGGGAACCGCTTGGAATTGAACCAAGATTTGCGAGATCCAAACTCGCGGTGCTACCGTTACACCACGGCTCCTGTTGTGTTGGTAAACATGATGGTGACGGAATCTAAGTACGAACAACCACACCGTTCGGCATTTGTTTTGTCCAGGTATGATACCTTCAGTATCCGTTTTGAAAGTGGCCCGCTCCTCGTCCTCGCATTCGGCCCGTTGCGATGGTTGGACGCAAGTTTTGGTGAACTCGACTATCAACCGCAACCAAACCTGTTATTTTGCATGTTTAAACAACCGCAATGGCACCACATATGCACTGTCAAGATGCTTTCATCCGGTCGCAAAGTGAACGTGTCCTGGGATCGTTGGGAGACCGTGAGGATGGCGATGCAGGGAGGATACGAGCTACGTGGGCTATTAGAAGTGAGTAATCGTGTCGCTTGTGCTCACGACTGAGAATGCCAGCATTCACATTCTGACGAGTGGCGTGTAACTTCATTGGACCAGTGGAACAGTTTTTGGTCTCTGCGCAATGCCTCAACAAGTGCCTTCGGCGTATGATTCCGCGAGCCATCAACATTGTTAGGAGCGCTGTTTCAACAATCTTGGTGAGCTTAACCTCTTTGCGACCCGAACGGAAGAGCTCCTTCCCGAGCACCCTGGCCGGGAACTGAAGCCCATTGGGACACGTTCAGGGGAATCAACTGTGTCCCCACCTGGTAAATGCAGAACTGATGGCGTGTATGATGAAACCAAGGACCTGGATAATGGAGTATGTCGTGGAGTAGTGGGACCAATGGCGGCATCAGCTTTCAAGGAGTACGAGCGACCTGAGTGTTTGAGCTGTACCATGAGCTACGCGATGTTAGTGCTGATGTAGGAAGTGCATGGAAGGGTTCTTTGACAGAGGTGTGGACTCTCCAACGTCAGGGGTTGCAGCTTCACCATTGTGTTTCGAGGTCGGATAACTACTCGCTCCTCCGCAGTTGAGGATTGGCGCAGGATAAGAAACCTGGTGTGCGAGAGCAGCATAATGTGGAGCTGACGAAGAAGGCAGTGAATGGTGATTGGCTGAGCAATTCTTGGCGATGTGTTCCTGATACGTGCTGGTCCAAATCAGTGTCGTTCTTCAGAGTTTGGTCTCGTTACTGAATGAAAATATATACTTCATACTATTTATTGAGGCCTCGAGCCTCCGCTATGCCGTGCAGTTCTCGTGTCCCCCCTCACGCTCTCCTCCCACCCACATTGTTTCACGTCTGTACACACCCAGCGACCAAGAATATCCGCAAGACCATAGAGTGCTCACATGATGGACGAGTCGTGACAACGGTGTGAAGCATTTCTCGGGAAGAGTGGTCAGGAATGGTATTGGGAGCAAACGGGGGTTTCAAGAGTGGAGAGTAGAGTGTAGTGACTGCCTCATGACTTCATTTGATCAAGTGAGGTTTCTGGACAGCAAGTAGACAAGCTCGCTCGAGGAAATGCGCTCGTTTGAGACTCTAGTCCCGAGAAACCCGCAGCTCAACTCATTCTCTCCATCCGCAGGCGGAAGCACGTTCATATCATCAAAATACATTCCAGTAAAGTATATTAGTAGGCGAACAAGGACACTGAAGGCTTGTTCCAAGTCATTCTCCTAGGAAATGGGGATTTGTGTACCCCATCGGACACAAGGGAAAAATGTGTCTCCATCGCCACGACAGGACAGCACAAATCAATGATTGCATCTCCAACTCTAAGCTCAAGACTTAAACAGCGAGTTCGGGGTGGATTTGACCGCGAATTGGGGTCAAGTGAGGACATGCTCAGTGGGACGGCAGACGGATAACAGACAGACCGGACGAGTTGCGGGATTTGATATCAGATGAACGTAGTCCAGTATCAGTCATGTTTAGATTACAATGAGGTCTGTGAATACAGTCTGCTGCAATAGAGTTTCTGCGACCCCACCATCGGCTGCTCAACTTGTTTTCATTGGTTTCACATTCAAATTCTGGAGCTCCTGCTCAGCAGGAGTATTCGTCCACGAAGCTCAGCGCTGACGCGTGGACTTCGGGCTTAGTGATCCGTCACGCCTGGCCCCCAGGAGGGACAAGCTCGGGACCCCAGGTGTTCGCGATGCTGGAGCTCCCACTGGGGGAGTATTCGTCCACGAAGCCAGCTGCGGAATGGATCATCGTCAGTGTGGACATCGGGCTTAGACATCCTACCACCGGCCCTGGGGGGGGGGGGGCCGATGGATATGGACCCCAGCAAAGGACACGAGTTGAATACGGGAAATCGAAGCTATTTATATGGGAGACCCGTGGTCTGTGCACCCGCAGTAGCTTTGGCCACAAAAATCTCGCTGCAAATTCATTTTTGGTTTCGCAGGTGTGTAGTTTCATTTTAAGTCCGATAGTTCAGAGACAATTTCAAAAATTTCAATTCATCAGAACGAAAAAGAGATCACAGGGAGCAGCCCACACGAAACAGCAAAGCAGAGGAAAGCGTGCAGTATCAATCCCATTGATCAATAAAGTCGTTCGTGAAACGGAGTTCCCAGAAAAGTTACCACGTGAGAGCTCCGCAAGCAATCTCAGCAAGCGATTAATCATAACGCGAGAAACACAAAGACACATGTTGGTCGGCGAAGTATTCTTCTCTTCATTCGATTATTCAGAATCGCTCGGAAAGCTGAGGCGGGTTCACGTCTCAGTATGCCGAAGCCACAAAGAGAAGTTGACAAAGTCCATAGAATGTTCAGATACAGTTTGTGCCTTCTGAAGTATTGGTCGGCGGTGAGTTCTCTCCGCTGCGCCCGAGAAGTGCCATATCCAAGTCATCCGATGCCCATCAGTCCTGTTGGAGTACAAAAATCTATTCCATAGGTACACTAGACATTGTTTCCGAGCAGAGCGCTTCCACTTGTTCAAAGTTCTAGAAAAATGAGATGTGGCGTCCTCGGGGTAAAGCTCAAAGGTGGAGACAGAGAGATACGACGAGAGAGGTTCTTCGATCACAAAAGCATGAGAGGATTGTTGTGAGTCGCAATGACGGGAATTTTCGGAGCGGCTGATATCCAAAACGTTTGTCGCGTTTGTATGCAAATTGCGCCGGTGCGGCAGATCCACAAAGAAAGCCCTGCACTTTTGAGAGTTGGGCTGCTCAGAAAGCGCGAAAAGAAATTTCCATCTCCAAAGGCATTTCGCAGGAGAGGCTGTGGCATTCACCTTGAGTGCCGTTACTATATGTACTTTTGTCCTATGTACCCTTGTCTTGTTGGCAGCGATAGGAAACTAAAAATAAGATGTGATAAAACAACATGGAAAATTGCACTTCGCCTTGGGAATGTTTGGCTGCGCTTTGTATTGTTATCATCGTCGACTCCAGTTCTGCAGTGAATTTCGAGATTCAACCCACTCGCAATAACTTCTCTGCAGCCAACCCTAAAAACGGAATCAAGATTACGCCATCTTTACTTCATGTAGAAGCTCGCATCCGAATGAATTCTGGGGAAAGAGAGTCTGACGTCCTGTTCCCCGCACTGATTCTGGTGAAACCGAGCCCGCATCGCTACCACGAAAGGGATCTCCATGTAGTCTCAATCATGTTAGTGTACCTGGCGGGCAAAGAGCGGGTTATCTTGTGAGATTCAAGATTTGCGAGATCCAAACTCGCGGTGCTACGGTTACAGCACGGCTCCTGCTGTGTTGCAAAAGTAATGGTGATGGAATCTAAGTATTTGGACTTGTCGGCATTCGCATTGTCCAGGTTGAATACACTCATAGCCATTCTCGATTGCGGGCACATTTATTCTGTCTACTCAATGAAATCTCAAGGAGGAAGTGCCGGTTTCTTCCTCGCTGTACGAATATCAATGAATAACTCTTTCGTACTATCAAGCATTTTCGGTGCTAATCTGTCCACTCTCTTTCAAGAAAGGTTCGTGTATTGAGAGTCCTGCTTTTCCTATCTCTGGACCTTCTTCAAGTTCGTGAGGATTGGGTTTCGATAAGA